ACAGCTCACCAGCTGCCGATGTGGTTTTCAAGACGAATTTTCGTACGTGCTTCCCACATCCTAGGACGGCCCGGTCATACTGGCGACAAACCGGATACCGTGAGTTACGGAGTTTTCCTTGGGGGAGGGGATCGTTTTTTTTTAAACCAATTTGGTTTCGTACTGCGGGGGGTTCGCTTTTTTTTCCAAAGCTACCCCGGGGGGACGACCCCCTCCCCCGGGGCGTTGTGCAAAATAATGATGGTCCACACACCACCTATCTATGTTCCGGACAACACAGAGAGATGTGAAACTGAGATGGATAAGGTTTATGACCAAGTGACAAACGGTACCTAAATCTCGCTTGAAGCGCAGACCTGCGAGTGAATTTTCAACCCATATCATGCTTTTTGTGCTCTGCGATGCAACAAAATCGACTCAAAGAAGAAGGGAAATACATCCCCCCAGGGGGGGACTCGTGGGAAAAATGGTACCCCGGGGGGAAATTGACATACCCGGGGGGATTATTTTTTGGGGTCGAAAACGAGATACCCCGGGGCTAAACCAACGAACTCATCCTTCCAGGCCGAAAAGAAAGGTGATGAGGGGGGGGGGACACTCTAACCCAGGGGGACAACTCCGTAACTTACGGTATGTCGCTGGCACGAGCCGATTGAACACAATTTCCTCCCGAGACATAAGCACCAAAAACCAAGATTGATTGCGACAAAAGAAACTCACTCGCAAACAAACCCGTTTTGGGTCACTACTCTAGTCGAGATGCTCGGGCGGCGACCTCCCCACTTCTCTCTTTTTCTACGGTCACGTATCCTGCTGGCAGGCGCCTACTTGATCCCTTGCGAGACGCAAACACTTCGTCCGTCGCCGAAAGCGCAAAGAAACAAATCGTACTCGTAGCTCCCTTCTGTGCTACGACTTAGCCCTTCCACTTTTGAACCTCCCACTTTTTCCGGACCTCGACGCAAATCTTCGGCCCCTTCCTCGCGGGATTGTGTGCCACCAGAAACTGGTGGCTAACGAGTGATTCAACGCCGCCGGTCTTGTGTCCTCCCATCCGGACCTCCTCTAACAGCTTGTCATTGTTTTCGTGTTGCTCCCTCCAGAGTTGTACTCTGGAGTCGCTGTGCCACCCGCCCCTTTCCTCTTCCTCGGGTTTCCTGTCGGATGTCCTGTAGGCGGCGGTCCTCCTCCGCCATTTGACTCGCCGTTACCTTCAGCATCTTTGGCCCGGGAGGCAATCTGTTTGATAGACTAACCGAAGGCTTCGATGGTATTATAGCTCAGCACCAGCACATGCTCTACTACCGATGCACTATTAGCCAACACCCGCTGGGTCGGACCTGTAGAAGGTGTTTTCTAACGTCGTCAGCGCCCATCGATTGGCGCCCATCCTCCATGATACCACCTGCAGCAGACCAGCGACCATTTTACGAAGCATGAGGATAAGACTGAGGGGCATGTGGGGCCCAAATTTCCGCTACAAGTCCTCCGGCAAGGGCGTTCGCGCACACTCCAACAGACGTTTGTATCCAGGTTTTGTACATATATTCAACACAAATTATATATCGTAATGCCGAGAACACGCTTGACATTCTCAAAAGATCGTGTGGCATTAGTTATTTGGTTGATCTCCGTCCCCGAGGAACAGCGGAGTACCGCCTAACGCACCGTACAACAACCGCGACACCCGTTCATACGTGCACATAGAGGACACCAGCAAACCGCGACAAGCTGTATTTTTTCAATGCTAAATCCCTATTAATAAGCGATTCACCACAGTAGTACGAAAAACGCCGTATCTCGACCAATTTAAAGAAGAACCCGGTCCGTTGTATATCGTATGAAAGGTATTTCTCCTGAGCATCGTTTGAGCCATCTCTGACACAGATCGGAATGGTTGGTGGTGGTGAAAACGCCTATATAGGTATACTTGCCGCGGACTGCTGTACAGGATTTATGTCGGCACCCGTAACTTTTGCGTCCGGGCCTCTTTCAGTTCCAAACTCGGCGAAAGTACTGAGCATGT